GGGAATTTTTATATGTATTATATTTTTAAATTCTGGAAAAACTGTTATTGTCACAATTACAATAATTATAAGTATAAATTATAATTATTAAAGTATAAATAATTAAATGACCATTTTAAAATTTATATTTGCATGATAACATCTGTTTTCAAATATTACTTTCAAACTATATATCTAATTACATTTGCTGTGAGTTCCTTGTAAGCAATATATAGTTGGGTCATGTTTTTCAACCTACTTTGCCAATCTCTGTCCTTTAGTTGTATATTTGGAATATTTGCACTTGATATAATTATAGATATGTTAGAGCTTAATCTGCCATTTTTATTTTTTGTTTTCTGTTTGTTCTCTCATTTCTCTGTTTTCTTTTTTTCCCTTTCCTTTCTTTAAATTACTTAAACATTTTTATTATTCCATTTTGATTTATCTGGAGTGATTTTTAATCGATCTCTTTGTTTCAGTTTTTTAGTGACTGCTGTAGACATTGCATTATAAGTACATAATTTATCACAGTCTACCAATGTGGTCATTTTATCAGTTTATGGTAATTGCAGAAACCTAACCTTCTTTTACACCCCTTTGACCATTCTATTTATAATACAATTCTCATAAATATTTTTCTAAATAAATTTAGAACCATATAGGATAGTATTACACATTTGCTTTAATCACCAATCATCATTTTGAAAAATCAAGAGAAAAAAAGTCTATTATACCTATTCATGTTTTTTATTTGGGTGCCATGTTACCAGGATGTTTTGAGTATGTAGCATTATAAGACTCCGAATTTTATTTAAGCCTTCTGTTTCAGCTGGCTTCTTTTAACATAGCCCTTGCAGAGATAGTAGGTGGGAGTGCCACTGCGTTGCTGCCAGGATCTGGGGGAAGTCCAGGCTTCCCACATTATCTTCACTGTTGTGGGGATAGTGGGCTTTGTTTTTGCTTGGCAGGCTTCCCAGGACTTCTCTAATACCACCCCAGCAGATGTGTTAGGGTATCTCTACAGCTGCTGAGGGTAGGAGTCTAAGTTTCTCACTCAAATTTTTCTGTTGTGAGTCAGAATGGGGCCACATTTATTATTTTGTTTTTTTCATATACAGTATATATATGTTTAAATAGTGGCCGAAGCCGGTTTGGCTCAGTGGTAGAGCGTTGGTCTGCTGACTGAAAGGTCCCGGGTTCGATTCCGGTCAAGGGCATGTACATTGGTTGCGGGCACATCCCCAGTAGGGGCGTGCAGGAGGCAGCTGGTCGATGTTTCTCTCTCATCGACGTTTCTAGCTCTCTATCTCTCTCCCTTCCTCTCTGTAAAAAAATAAATAAAATATATTTTTTAAAAAAATTCTAGATAGTGTTTAGCTGGGTTATTATTTAAAAATCTTGCTATACTGGTTATTTTTTTGGTCCTTAGGATAATGAGAGCAGACTTTTGTTCAAGTATTTTTTTCTGTGCCTCTTGGCATTTTAATGTTGCTCATATGTTCAGCCCCAAGTCTGGGACATAATGAGGCAAACACACACACACACACACACACACACACACACACACACAAAACAAAACAAACAAACAAACAAAAACAAAAAAAACAGGAAACTAGTAATCACCATGACTTTCCTTGGGTTCTGAAATGCCTCGCTGATCTACCTTCTCTCCACTTTTCAGAATCTTATGTTTCTTTCATATATAATATCTAAAGTTTTTAGTTATATTAGTGGGAAAAATAAGGAAATGTATATCTACCCAATTTTCCTAGAAACAGAAGTTTCCTGATTTATATTTTTCCTTCATAGTTGGGCTTGAGTTTTTGTTTGGTTGTAGTTTATAAAGAGGTTTTCAATTTTGGTTTGTTTTGCTTTTATCATTTTCTAGGCTTGTTAATAAATATAAATTTTCACTGTCTTCAAAATGAAAAACAAAATCTTTTATTAATGTAAAGACATATGTTTGCGTGAATCTTTAAAAAGAAATTTGTTTTGTGTTTAGGAATTCCTTCAGTTCAAAAAGTCACTTCTTCCTGTAGCTCAGAGATGTTTATTCTTTCCCTGGTATTTCTTTAAATATTGTCTTTCTTCTCTCTCTTTTGTTATGTCATTCTGGAATACCTATTAGATTAAATTTATTTCCTGTATTTTACTTCACTAGTCTCATTATTTTTATCTTTTTATAATTTTTCTCAGTAATTTGGGTATAGTTTCTCAAACTTCTTTTCTAATTTACTATTCAGTTTTTTACATTTCCAGCAATATATTTTACAGCCTTTAATTCAAGAATCATGATCCCACACCACCATCTCAGGTGGTCTTTCCTGAATCTTTTATTATTAATCCTTTTATTATTCTTTTTTTTAAACTTGTATTGGTTTTTCTGAAGTTGGGCTCAAAACTTTAGATATGTTTCATTTAATTTTTAGTCCTTCAAAGACACCTTAGATCACTTTGACTTTATTATTGTTGGGTAAGATTCTATTTCCTTATGTGAATATTTTGGAGTTTTAAATATAATGTTGAAATTTAAATTATTCACCACAACCTGATAAATATGTAGCTTCTCTTCATTATTTATCCTCTTTACTTTTTGAAAATGGATTATAAGGGAAAACAGAACTGGTCTTCTTCACCCAAGGCAATCAGCTTGAATCCCTCCCTAACTCCTCCCTATTCTATCCATTCTCACAACAGTATCAAAGTAATCTTTCTGTATGACATATCTGACAATGCCACTCTCTCATTGCAAATATTCAGGTGGCTCTCTCAATCTATAGAATAAGGTCCAAATTCCTTCACAAAAAATAAAATTCTATTGATATAACATACTCAAAACACAGCATACTTGTTTCTCTTATACTTTGTGGCAATTATCATTTTATCTATTCCTAATGTTTTTATTTGTTACTAAACTTTTAATTTTCTTATAATAGTTCCTAACCATATATAATTCCTTTTCAATTTATTTCAGCTTCTCAGTCAATATCATTTTCCAACTTTATCTCATAATTTCTTCATTAGAACTCAATATTTTAAATTCCCAAAATAACAAAACAAGAAGAGCTTCTTGATAATCGTTTGGATATTAGAAACAAATAATACAGAATGGGGATCCAGTTGATTCTTGGGAGCCTCCTGAACATTTTTACAGTTTTATTGATAAATATATGTTTAAGGTATGTGGCATAATGGTTTGACTTACAAATATTGCAAAATGATTATCATAATTGGGGTAGTTAACATCTATCATCTCATATATTTTACAATAAAATGAAAGAAAAAATTTCTCCTTGTGATGAGAACTCTTAGGATCTACTCTCCTAACAATGTGTGTGTGTGTGTGTGTGTGTGTGTGTGTATATATATATATATATATATATATATATATATATATATATTATAGTAGTGTAAACTACAGTCATTATGTAGTGCATTACATTCCTAGTACTTTTTTATCCTATATCTGGAACTTGATATATATTGACCACCTTCCTCCAATTCTCCCACCCTTTTAGCTCCCACTTCTGGTAACCACAAATCTGATCTCTTTTTCTTTGAGTTGTATTTGTCTGTTTTTGTTTTGTTTTGTTCAGATCCCACATATAAGTGATATGTCTAACTTATTTTACAGTATAATGTCCTCATGGTTCATTTATGTTGTTTGAAATGGAAAATAAGAATTTCCTTATTTTTATGGCTGGATAGTACTTTAATGTCTATTTGACTTCTGTATCAATTCATCTATCAATCAATTAGACTGTTTTCACATCCTGAGCATCTTGATGTTAATGATGTTGGTTCTCTTGGTTCTTTTTTTCATTGTGATGTGACAGAAATCCTAATTCTAATTCTCTTAAGCTTTAATGAGTTAGTCCTCAGGTTAAGGCAGAATAGTCAATAAAGAATGGTTCAGTAGAAATCAGAGGACTTTAGAATCCTCTAATGTGGTTTTAATTTTAGATCTGTCACTTTAATTGTTATTCCTTAACTTCTCTGTGATCAGTTTCCTCACCTATTTTTAAAAAAAATATTTTTATTGATTTTTTCACAGAGAAGAAGGGAGAGGGATAGATATAGTTAGAAACATCGATGAGAGAGAATCATCGACCAGCTGCCTCCTGCACACCCCTTACTGGGGATGTGCCCGCAACCAATGTACATGCCCTTGACCGGAATCGAACCTGGGACCTTTCAGTTTGCAGACCGACGCTCTATCCACTGAGCCAAACCGGTTTCGGCAGTTTCCTCACCTACTAAATGCACAGGTAAGAGGGCAAAACACATGCAAATGTTAACTGTCCTCAATACATGCTAGCCCATCTTTATCTCTCAAATTCTAGCCAAGCAAGAAAGATTTATGAAGAGTATAAAAATTATTAGATATGCCGAAACCGGTTTTGCTTAGTGGATAGAGCATCGGCCTGTGGACTGAAAGGTCCCAGGTTTGATTCCGGTCAAGGGCATGTACTTGGGTTGCGTGAACATCCCCAGTAGGGGGCATGCAAGAGGCAGCTGATCGATGACTCTCATCGACGTTTCTAACTCTGTATCTCTCTTCATTCCTCTCTGTGAAAAATCAATAAAATATGTTTTTTAAAAAAGTTATTAGATACATTGTTCTATATTATAATTATATATTTCTAAAATCTTGACAAATTGTATGTGCTTAATGAAGTCATGAATGTTGGTTTATATTCTCCAAAGTTTAAGTGTTTGCAGGAATATTACTATCTCCTAAAATGGCCACTTTGGTGGCTCCTTCAGGGATTCATGGTTCTAAAAGGGCGTGACCTTTATGTATATGTTAATGTACAAATAAGGAAATATCAACTCCAAAAAATAAATTAGGTCTGCTTCAGAGTTTAATCTCTAGCCATTTTTCTTTGTGTCTTTATTCTTAGACAATGGAAGACCCTTCCTCATTTAACTGAAAACCTGACTTGATACTAAGAAGAAATCTTAATGACAAATCTAGAATCTGAATATTCTAATCAAGACTTTCTCTCCCTGACTCCAGCTGGGAATTCATTTCTATAATTATGGTTGGAGGAAATTGGACAAGAGTAACTGAGTTTATTCTCGTGAGCTTCTCTTCCCTACCTACTGAATTACAGTTGTTACTCTTCCTGTCATTTCTAATTATCTACCTGGTCACCCTGATGGGAAACAGCCTCATCATTCTGGTTACCTTGGCAGACCCCATGCTACACAGTCCCATGTATTTCTTCCTCAGGAACTTGTCCTTTTTGGAGATTGGCTTCAACCTAGTCATTGTGCCCAAAATGCTGGGAACCCTACTTGCTCAGGACGCAACCATCTCTTTCCCTGGGTGTGCCATACAGATGTATTTCTTCTTCTTCTTTGGGGTTGCTGAATGCTTTCTTCTGGCCATCATGGCATATGACCGCTATGTAGCCATCTGCAGTCCCTTGCACTACCCAGTCATCATGAACCAAAGGACACGTGCCAAACTAGCTATTGCCTCCTGGTTTCCAGGCTTTCCCGTAGCTACTGTGCAGACCACATGGCTCTTCAGCTTCCCATTCTGTGGCACCAATAAGGTGAACCACTTCTTCTGTGACAGCCCACCTGTGCTGAGGCTGGTCTGTGCAGACACAGCACTGTTTGAGGTCTATGCGATTGTTGGAACCATTCTGGTCGTCATGATACCCTGCTTGCTGGTCTTATGTTCCTATTCCCGAATCGCTGCTGCCATCTTCAAGATTCCATCAGCTAAAGGGAAGCATAAAGCCTTCTCTACATGCTCCTCCCACCTCCTTGTGGTCTCCCTTTTCTATGTATCTTCAAGCCTCACCTACTTCCGGCCTAAGTCCAACAATTCTCCTGAGAGCAAGAAGCTGCTATCGTTGTTCTACACGGTTGTGACTCCCATGTTGAACCCCATCATCTACAGCCTGAGAAATAATGAGGTGAAGAATGCCCTCAGCCGGACCTTCCGCAAGGCCCTGGGCCTTAGAAACTACATCTGTAGACATTAAGAGATAAGACTAAAGTTTATTGGATGGCAAACAATCAATTTTATATTTGGGATTGCTGTCTTTATATCTCCATTGGGATGAGACCCGACTGTTAAAATGACTGTTGGGATGCTCAGTAGACAGAAAACAGCACTAGACCTGGAAAACTCCTCTGCCTGCCCACTGAAGACTTACATTCTTTTTCTTATTGGTACTTCAACACTTCTGTATCAGATAATTCCAGATATTTACATTCCTGTGTCCTGCTTATAATCTTAATTTAGGGAAACACATAAAGAGAAAACCAATTAAAATTTATCTTGTGCCGAAACCGGTTTGGCTCAGTGGTTAGAGCATCAGTCTGTGGACTGAAAGGTCCCAGGTTCGATTCCAGTCAAGGGCATGTGCCTTGGTTGTGGGCACATCCCCAGTAGGGGGTGTGCAAGAGGCAGCTGATCGATGATTCTCTCTCATTGATGTTTCTAACTCTGTCCCTCTCTCTTCCTCTTTGTAAAAAAATCAATAAAACATATATTTTTTTTAAATTATCTTGTCACTTTCTCTTAATTTATGAGGGCAAATATACTCCATTTACAAGATATAAAACCCCAGGATTTCTCCCAATGAATAACTCTCCTCACTGTGTTATTTCTGTTGTAAGATCTCATTGGTATGTAGTATAGATACAGGAAAGTAGTTAAATAGTCCTCATGCACACACCTTTATAACTCCAATAATCATTTTCTTCCTTACTCTAGCTTTCTCAGGAAAAAGGGATTTGAACTTCCATGGGATATCTTTCTATCCCATATTTACATTCAGATGTCTCGGTGAAGTGATATCATAAATATCCATCATGACGCTACTTTTGGTCAGAGCTTAAAATGGATCCAAGATGATTACAACATAGCTCTTCTTTAACCACAAAAAAATTTTCTCATTTTTTTAATAACTTCATAGAGGCCCAGCACATGAAATTCATGCACAGGTGCAGTCACTAGACCTGGTCGACAATCAAAGTGCGATGCATGGTGTGAAAAGGCAAGTCTCAGCTGACTTCTGAGCTCTGGGCAGGACCAGGGTGCCTGGACCCACATCCACCCCCTCTGCCAGAGTCATTGGGCCCCCAGCCCAGCTCCCTCAGCACCTGGGAGCCAGGCAGCAGCCCTGCCAACCCCCCCGCCCCTCCACACACACACACACACACTACTGGTCACCATATGCAGGGCGATTGGTGGGGTGATTGGGCCCTGCTCGCACCAGCCTTGGCCTGGCACCACCCACTCACCTGCTCCACCATTCCACTGTGGTTCTGTTCTCATAGGGGCCCATTGGGGCCAGCAGCACCTCCACTGCCACCCACTGCCAGTACCACTTCACTAACACCTGCCATGTTCTGTGCCTCCCCCTGGTGGTCAGTGCACATCATAGCGAGTGGTAGAACTCCCAGTCAAACTCCTGGCTGAACTCCTGACCAAACTCCCTGTGGAGGGAACAATTTGCACATTAGGCTTTTATTATATAGGATAGTCTATTTTGTAGATTTACCATCATTTGTGACTTTTATTATTACATATTATACTGTAAACAATAGCTTTATGACCATGCCTTTTAATATTTTTGCCAGTATATCTTACAGATGGAAACCTAGAAACTGGATTTCTTGGGCAAAGGGTAAATACATATGTAATATTGCTATCTATTGGCAAATTCCCTTCCAAAGTGATTTTACCACTTTACACTCCCAACAGCTTATTTCCACACAGTCCTGTCAACAATATCTGTCACCACACTTTTGAATTTTGCTTATATAGTAGGTAAAAAAGCTCAATTACATTTTAGTTGGAAAAAATACATTTTAAGGAATATGGAACAAATAGGTGAGTAAATTAGAGAAAAGGCATGCATTTCATTCAGACTTCTGAGTTAATAGTTTAATATTAACAGTTGGTGATGTCTTGATATTCTATTTTCGCTACTTGAAATTGTCTTTACCTTTATTTTAGCCAAATACATCTCATCTTTCAAGGTCCTTCAGTGTTCGCTCTAGCAGCATAAATTATGCTCTCCTACATGTATTCATCCAAGTTAATCTGTAGATAAGTTAAATTTTGTATATACTATGCTGTGCTTTTCACATGTTTGTTTTCTCCCTAATGTACCTGTAACTCTTTGAAAATGCGAGCAGCACACTTGTCTCTATTTTAATATGGCACAGGCATCCCTGAAAGCTATATGTTCTGCAGAGCTCTGTTCTAAAAAGATTATAGGTAAATGAGGTAAGGGAAGACCACTCAAAATATATGCAACTTTGAAGCCAGAGCATCAACAGAAGCAAGAGTTGGTACTTGGAGAGACAACACAGCCTCCCCAGCATGCAGCTCAGTGAAGCTGAAAGTTGCCACAATAGATATTTAACATACAAAATAACAGTAGGATGAAAATTGTGACAATGATTTACTTAAAACAAGACATATGGTGCTCAAAGTTGATGGGTGTGATGTTCTGAACCATTGGAGAAACCCTTAGATGGTCATGGAATCACTACCACTTTCCAGGGAGCCAAAAGCTACAAAAAGCAAGAGGTGCCTCTCTCCAGGGATGGAACCTCGGGTAGAGGCACACATTCAACATTTTCTTAAAAACCATTAAGGGGAGCCCAGCTAGTGTGGCTCAGTGATTGAGCATCAATTTATGAACCAGGAGGTCTTGTGCCCAGGTTGCAGCCTCAATCCCTAGTGGGGGCGTGTAAGAGGCAGCTAATCGATGATTTTCTTTCATCATTGATGTTTCTATCTCTCTTAAATCAATAAAAATATATAGATTTTTTAAAAAACATGTTCTTATGTTATGTTCTGCATGGCACGCTAAGCCTTAGATAATGATAATAGATTTTCCTTTCTTTGACTGAAAACTTCTCAAGTCCAGGTATGAAACACTCTTGGGAACCAGCCCAATGAGAATCAAAAGTGAGGGGAAATGTAAAAGAATACTGGCACAAAGGAAATGAAATCACTATCTTGAAGAGATTGCTTTACTGCCATATGTTTTTAATCATTTACTATAGTCAAAACATGGAAACAGCCGAGACCGGTTTGGCTCAATGGATAGAGCATCGGCTTGGGGACTGAAGGGTCCCGGGTTCGATTCCGGTCAAGGGCATGTACTTTGGTTGCGGGCATATTCCCAGTAAGGGGTGTGCAAGAGGCAGCTGATCGATGACTCTCTCATCGATGTTTCTAGCTCTCTATCTCTCTCCCTTCCTCTCTGTACAAAATCAATAAAATATATTTTAAAAAAATGGAAACAATAGACGAATGAATAAAGAAACTGTGAGAAAAAACAGAAGTAAATGTGAGAGCCCAGCCGGTGGTTGAGCATCAACCTATGACCAGGAGGTCATGCTTCAATCCCAGTTGGGACACATGCCTGCATTGCATGCTCAGTCCCCAGTGTGAAGTCTGCAGGAAGTAGCTCATCAATGATTCTCTTTCATCATTGATGTTTCTATATCTCTCTCCATTTCCCTTCCTCTCTGAAATAAATAAAAATATATTTTAAAATAAAGAAACTGTGGATATTTATCAGCCATTTGAAATAATCCTGCTATTTGCTACAACATGGATGGACCTTGAAGGCAGAAAAATACAAATACTGTATAATCTTACTTATATGTGGAATCTGAAAAATAAATAAACACCACAAATTTTCAGAAGCAGAGTTAAATGATGGTTGCTGGGTAGTGTGGGGAAATTGGAAGATGTTGGCCAAAGGGTACAAACTCAGTTATAAGATGAGTAAGAACTGAGGATCTAATGTATAGCATGGTAACTATAGTTAACAAAGAATTATCTCTTAATTGTTTCCAAGATTAAAACGTAATTATGTGAGATGATGGATGTGTTAAATGACCCTGCTGTGGTCATCTTTTTGCATATCTACATGAATCAAATCATTACTTCATACAACTTAAATGTAAACAACATTATAAGTCATTATACCTTAATAAAACTGGGGGGAATTAAAACAAGTTTAAAGAGAATACTGGCATGCTCCTCTGATCTTTTTCAGGTGGAAACCTTGGAAGATGGACCACTGAGTTTTGTCTCTTGGCTCTGCAGCCTCACCAGTGCAGGAAACATCAGAGCTCAAATAGACCTTCATCCAATTACAAGGTTGCAGAATCTACGTGAATTTCTGAACTCCTGGGAGCTCCTCAAAACACGCCTGTCAGAAAGTGAACCTGTGATTTCACAGGAGAAAGAAGAAGCTTTGGGAGAAATCACTTCCCTACACTAAAACAGCAGGGACCAAAATAGTCCTGAGACTCCACCTGGAATCCTCTAGTGATTGACACAGGCCCTGCCCAGAGCTTCCCTGCTGTGACTTATGCTGCACAGCTCAGAGTGTCTTTACTACAAGGATTGGCCCAGCCACAGCCCAGGATTTACCTGGAATGTCTGACACAGCCCGGGGACAAAGCTTCTTTCAGAATGTGACAAGACAGACTTCAAGGTTCACCAGCAATGTGGACCAAGACCAGCACAACCAAGAGTGTCTTTGGGATGACTGGCAGAGACACCCTCCTGGGCTTTTCTGAGATGGCTTGCACAGACACAGCATAATTTAGGAGCTCCCTTTGAGTCAGTCGTTCAGACACAGTCCAAGGCTGATCCAGAGCCACTGACACAAACCAGGGCTTACCCTGGAATCGTGATACAAACAAGTCTCACTGACAAGAGGTAAGTAAAGGGTGGAGTACAGGGCCCAGGCCTGAAATCTCTTGTAAAGAGGATAATGGTTCACCACGAAAACAATGTGTCTTCTTTGACATGTTTCTGAGAGACAAGAAAGGAGATCAGTGGAATCAAGTAAAAAAAACTTAGAGTTTTATAAGATTGACAACTTAGGGGACCTGAAAAAGGATAGAAAACAATGGTAATTGTGCTTTGAAATGCTCAAAGGTTTTGCACAAATGTTCTCATTTCACACCTACAACCACCCTGTCTAGTGGGCAGGACATTTATTATTATAATAATAATAATAATAATAATAATCCTTTTATAGTTGAGAAAACCATAACTCAG